GTGTGTGTGTGTGTGTGTGTGTGTGTGTTTGTGCGAGAGAGAGAGAGAGTGATGGGCCGGGGGATGTGAGGGAGTGAGTAGGTTGAGACTCGGGCCATAGCATTTACATGTGTTCGGAGAGGAGTGAGGATTGGTGGAAGTGGCTTTTAGAGATTGTGGGAGGTGGCAAGTCGTCATGGGGTTAAGTCACGCGCAGTGGTCAATGCGCCATTCTCTTGCTTGAGGACGTGGGAGGAGAGGATGCGGCGCACCTTGGGTGGGGGGTGGAAGTCGGTGTCTGACTGTGAAGATGGAGGCTGGTCACGTTGGAGAGCGAAGGAGGAAAAGTGGATGTCAGCGGTGGGATTCGAACCCACGCCCTCATACGAGGACCAGAATTCCCAGAAAGCTCTCGCTTGAGTCTGGCGCCTTAGACCGCTCGGCCACACTGACTTGTGGGGGGTGAGGCCTTGCGCACACCACCTCGGACTACGCGCCGCTCTCGCGCACATTGGACACACTTGACACACCCACACCTCCACTCCTGTGCTCCTGTGGTGGAGGTGCGGCACTGCCTGCCAACCGAGGAGGCTGTGCTGTGGCGAGAGGAATTGATCAGTGTTGGTGGGGTAAAATTAGGCGGGATCGGAGAGAGGTTGTTTGGGTTTAGAGCTTGTGCGGAGGGTGATGGGAAGGAAAGGGGCGGAGGATGAGGATGAGGATGAGGATGAGGATGGGGATGAGGATGGGGATGAGGAGTGTAATGCATTGGGAAGGTGGATTTGAAGATGGCGCGACGCGAACGCGTCAGTAGTGTAGGGGTATCATGCGTGCCTCCCACGCACGCGACCCGGGTTCGAATCCCGGCTGGCGCACACCTTTTTTCTCCCAACGGCCCACCCCATATCCACTCCCACCACTCACTCGATACTGACTGCACTCGCACTGAGCTTATATTGGTTTGCTGTAGTTTGTTGTTGAAGGGTTTGCAATGGGGGAGGGGAGTGGGGGGCTGGGGACTATGTTAACAAGTGGCATGTATCAGGAGAGGAATGAGGTGGGAGTGGAGTGGGAAGATGACCGGCCACCTGGAATTTGCGGGGATGTAGCTCAGTGGTAGAGCGCTCGCTTTGCATGCGAGAGGCCCCGGGTTCGATCCCCGGCATCTCCAAGTCCATCTCCAAGTCCGCCGTCTACTAACGCGCTTCGCCTCCGCAAGCGTGAGTGGACAGACATGCACCACCCAGAAGTCGGCTCGGAGTGCGCGAGTGGTGGTGGCGGTTTTGGAGGTGAGAAAGGGTGGTGGGAGGGTGTTGTGCTCAGTAAGTTTAGTCCACCTTGACTTCTTGCTATCCACTTTGGCCTCTTTTCCTCTCACCACGAATGAGGGGGACGGTGTTGGTTGTGTGGGTTGACCTCGAAGGCGAAGAGTTAGGTGTGAGTTGGGTGGAAAGATGGCCGGCCAGGTGGTTGTTTTGTGGGGATGTAGCTCAGTGGTAGAGCGCTCGCTTNGTTGTGCTCAGTAAGTTTAGTCCACCTTGACTTCTTGCTATCCACTTTGGCCTCTTTTCCTCTCACCACGAATGAGGGGGACGGTGTTGGTTGTGTGGGTTGACCTCGAAGGCGAAGAGTTAGGTGTGAGTTGGGTGGAAAGATGGCCGGCCAGGTGGTTGTTTTGTGGGGATGTAGCTCAGTGGTAGAGCGCTCGCTTCGCATGCGAGAGGCCCCGGGTTCAATCCCCGGCATCTCCATGTCCATTGCGCTTCGGGAAGATAAACGCGCGATGGTCGACTCGAGTTGCGTGGTCGCCGCGTGTTGTGAATACCCGAGCTGTTGACTGCCACGGTTTTGGAGGTGGGAAAGGGTGGTGGGAGGATGGGGCTGCTCAGTATGCCTTGTCCACTTTGCCCTCTTTTCCTCTCGCCACGATTGAGGAGGGCGGTGTTGGTGGCGTGGTTTGGCCGAGGAGGCGAGGAGGCGATTAGTCGGAACAAAGCGGAAAGCGATACCAGCGCATAGACGAGTCTGTCGCCTACTGCAAGGAGATTCTTTGGAGAGGGCGTTGGAGTTGAGGGCGTTGGAGTTGTTGGGCTCGGTGGTGTAGTGGTCATCACGTCTGCTTTACACGCAGAAGGTCCCCGGTTCGAACCCGGGTCGAGTCAGGCGGACGATTTTCTTCTCCCCACGTGGTGAGCCTAGTTGCCTTGTTCCCAAGTGTATGTTTAACTCCCGAAACAATGTAGAAGTGAATTGGGGTTCCTGTCTGTAGTTATTACCGCGTGAACTCCGAAAATGGATATCCACGAATCCATTAGTATCTTCGCCACCATCGTAGCAATAGTCTCGCGTATTTGTACTGCTATTGGCCAACGTGTAAATCGGCGGAAACAGATTAGTATATGTGTATAAGGTTTCGATGGTGGCAGCGCACCCACAATATGAACATGTATGTGGTGGAAACGGGCTTCGGGAAGAGGGAAAGCGGCGAGCGGGCTGCGAGAATGTTTTTGGACCTTGCTGGCCTGACAAGTGAGGTAATGTTTGGCCCAATGACGGACGTCCTGCCTGTGATCAATTTCGTTGTGGAACGAATGCTCGCATGCAATAAACCGTGAAATCATCAAAAATCTTCCGGCGATATACTTGAGGGGCAAATGGTCTCGGCTTACCGGTTGAAACATCGAAATGGATTCGTGTATCGGAGTCTGGTAGGGGTAAGCTTTCGAAACTTAACGAAGGTTTGGATGTAATTTCGGTGAAATCTGGATCCGAATTTTGTCCAGTTGCCAGAATTTGCAAATCGAGAGATGGCGTTCCTATTTGGTTCAACTCCATGCGAGACATTGCATCGGCAACCACGTTACTCGCACCGTCAATATGGCGAATATCGTTTGTGAATTGTAAGACGAAATCCAAATGACGAGTTTCCATGGGGGAGTGATGATCTGAGTTGGCCTGGAAAGCATAAATTAGGGGCTTGTGGTCGGTAAATATTGTAAACTGACGGCCTTCCAATATATTACGAAAGTGTTTCACTGCCAGGTAGGTGGCAAGTAATTCTCTTCCGAACGTGCTATAACGTGTATCAGTAGCGGTGACCTTCTTGGAGAAGAAGGAGAGTAGTTATGTTTCACCTCTAACCACCTGTTGCAGAACTGCTCCGACGGCCACTTGAGATGCATCTGTCTTTAAAACTATTCGTGTCTCGCTGGAAGTGTCGAGGTGGTTTAGGGTAGTCGCCCTGGAGAGCAGTTTTTCACTTCCGTGAACGCGGACTCAGTCTCTGATGTCACTCGGAAGTGTTTTTGGTTGCCTTTCAGTAGATCCGTGAGAGGTTGGAGTACTTGGGGACAGCTGGGGATGAATCTTCCGTAATAGTTCACAACCCCCAAGAAACGACGGAGACTCTTCACTAATTGGGGCATCGGGTAATCCAGGATGGATTGTGTCTTCTCAGGTAAAGGAGCGATTCCGCGCGCATTGATGAGGTGGCCTAGGAATTCAATTTCGTCCTGGCCGAACTTACACTTCTCGGGGTTCACCGTGATCCCTTACTCCTGTAGACGTTTGAATACCTGGCGCAGATGTAGCCTGTGTTCCTCTGGGTTGGTGCTGGTGATGAGTACATCATCGATATAGACGTAAACGTAATCTAACCCATGGAAGACTTGATCCATGAATCTTTGGAAGGATTGGGCGGCATTGCGTAAACCGAAAGGCATACGAAAATATTCGAACAGGCCGAATGGTGTAATTATTGCCGTCTTCGCGATATCCTCTGGAGCCATTAGAATCTGGTGATAGGCTCAAACTAGATCGAGCTTGGAGAAAATGACTTTTTGGTGCAATTGTAATGAAAAGTCGTGAATGTGGGGTATGGGGTACCTGTCTAGCAATGTAATGCGAGTGAGTGCTCGGTAGTCTCCACATGGCCTCCAGTCACCGTCTTTTTTGCGACCATTTCTAATGAGGAAGCCCATGGACTGTTTGAAGGTCTAACGATTCCTAAAGTAACCATGTGTTCAAATTCTTGTTTTGCCGCCTGTAGTTTATCGGGGTGTAGGCGTCGGGCTCTAGCGAAAACAGGTTCCCCCTTTGTGGTAATATGATGCTGGAAACTATGCTTGGTCCCTGAAATCTCTGATTGCGGACGAAAGATATAAGGAAATTCTGATAGTATGTTCGTATATAGATTATCTACCGCGAGGAGTCCGTTCAGACTGAAAGAATCTAAGGGTTGTTTCCAGCCTGTCACACGCATGGATGTAAGATTCTCCAGTAGAGCATTGTCTTTGAGATCGACTAATAACTGGAATCTTGAAAGGAAGTCGGCACCAATGATGGGCTGTCGAACCTCTGCGATATAGAAGGTAAACGGGAACTCTCGACAGAGGCCTAGGTCCAGATTAAGGAACTTTTGTCCATAGACTTGTATTTTGGTATTATTTGCTGCTATAAGGGAGGTCTTGATGGCTTGAGCATAACGTTCCTTTGTAGACCGTGGAATAATACTGACTTCGGAACCTGTGTCTACCAAAAATGTAAGTTCGGAGTTTTTGCCTATAATGTATAGCAGGCGACTATGGTAGCTGCCAGGATCAGTCGTCGCCTTTACTGCCTGGCGTGTTCTTTTCCCGCGTTTACGGTATTGACACCAATGGGTACATTTCTTTGCGTTATCTCCGTAGGTGCGATGATAATAACAGATAGCGTCTTCATTTTCTGCTGAATTCGGTCGTTTTCTGGGTGAAAATGCACGTTGACGATTGGGTTGTGAAGAAAAATTTGAGATGATTGTTTTAAGTTCTTGGAAGGTTGCCCAATCATTGCGACATACTGCCAGATGAGGCTGAAGTTATTACAGTGTGGACTCAGGGTCTACCACAACGTCGATGGACGCGGTCGACCACTTCAGCCAATTTGTCTAGGTCGTCTAGTCTGTCGCCTACCGCAAGGAGATTCTTTGGAGAGGGCGTTGGAGTTGTTGGGCTCGGTGGTGTAGTGGTCATCACGTCTGTTTTCATAGTCCATTTTACGCAAAATCTATAAATTGTGTACCATATTTTTATTGATTGGAACAAATTGTGTGCAATCGACTTGCCTACGCGTCCATGACTCGGCATTTGACTTCAACTCATTTTATGTCAGACTGAAACGAAGCTGTAAAAGAAATCGTTCTTGTCAATTTCTAAATATTTTTTAGTGGAAATCTGGATTGATATCACATGACGAGATCGAAATCCAGAAAATCCTACATGGCTATGATATAGACATATTCACAATCATGGAACCAAACCTTCCGGAAGGCAAACTCAAATACTACTAATTCCCAGGTTTCACCCTATATCTCTTACCTAAAAACCGCCAAGTTGTAATTGGAATTTTGACTAGAGTAAAAAAGGCCTCAGATTCCATTACGATCTAATCAAGTGTATGGGCTCGACGCAAGACAAATGTTTGAAAACGCCAAAACCACTTCAAGATATACCCGGTCTATAACCCACCCCAGTATAGACCCACATTCGATCTTCTGAACATCTCACACAAAACTGTAGTACTAGGAGACTTCAACGCCCGTTCCACCAGATGGGGCTATAAGAACATAAACATGGTCTGCTTCAAGTGACATCTGCGAGCATACACACCGCAGAATCATTAACGATCCTGGTTCTAGTCACAAAAAGTCATTGCTAGTATTACCATCGGCAGCAAAAGCATGACAACGAAAGTGCCAACTAAGCTATCATGGAACTTCAAGAAAGCCGACTGGTCTTGAATTACAAAACTTTTTGAGAATGAACTCCTCACATGTCCCCTCAACTTCAACCAACATCCTGGCAAACCTTGCAATGATATCATGAATATTATGATCAAATGGGCAAAGAAAACTATTCCCTGAGGCAAGACTAAACACTATCTAGATAGTCTAAACACCTTGAGGAACTGAAAAGAAAGCGGGACGAGTCTAGACACCTTGAGGAACAGAAAAGAAAGCGGGACGCCCTTCGCGCACCTTGAGGAACAGAAAAGAAAGCGGGACGCCCTTCGCAACACTGTTGATCATACTGGAAGAACGGAAGACATACAAGCCTGAAGACGGCGGTCAGCTGACCTAAGGCAAGCCAACTTACAAGCTCAACGGACATCATTCGACAAACAACAGAGAAAGACCCAAGAAAGAAGCAATATGCTTAAACAAAAACTGCTTACCACCGACTCCGAGATAGCTAACTACTTTGCGAGGTTCTATTCCCACAAGCAAAGTAGCTAACTGCTTTGCGAGGTTCTATTCCCACAAGCAAAATTAACTGCTTTGCGAAGTTCTATTCCCACAAGCAAAAGAAACCATTTTGTCAGAAAATCATCAAGAGATTTAAAGACACAAGTAAGAAAGTTTGGTGAAATTAAGGAAGACGTAACAACACCAAATAATGTACTTACTGAACCATTCAGATCTTGCGAACTTAACGCTATGGTAAAACAGCTAAAGTGTAAAAAATCTCCTGGTGAAGACGGTATTCATCCGAAAATTCTAATTAGAATAAAACCGAATGCCAAGGAAACCATGCTGACGATTTTCAACAAAATCTAGGAGACCAGTCTCGTACTTAGCCAATTGAAAGTTGCCATAGTAATAACAGTACTAAAAAAGGGCAAAGACCTTAGCAACTTTGAAAACTATAGGCCTATCTCCCTCACAAGCTCCTCACAAGTGTGCTGGCTAAACTTATGGAAAGAATGGTTTAAGGAGGCACACCTGGTTCCTTGAGACTAACAATATTCTTAGGTGTGAACACCTGGCTTAACTTATGGAAGGAATGGTTAACAGGAGGCTGACCTGGTTCCTTGAGACCAACAATATCCTGTGGAGTGAACAAGCAGGTTTTAGGCCACAAAGATCAACAAATGTAGCCACTTTTTCCCAACACATCAAAGATGCCCTTGATGCGAGAAATTTCTTACGGCTGTTTTCGTCGACTTCAAATCAGCATATGACCGATAGAGAAGCTAATTCTAAAATTGGCAAAGATTGGTATTTTCCACAGATACTTGTCAAAAGCTGCACTCTTTTCAATGTCTTCATCAATGACCTCATCATTGACATAGCCGAATTGGTACAGACAGTCACGGGCGTGGAGTGCTTACTTTATGCAGATGATCTTGTTCTAGGGTATTACATGCTTACTTTATGCAGTCATCAAGTGCTTACTTTATGCAGATGATCTGGTACTATGGTTGCTTACTTTATGCAGATGATCTGGTACTATGGTATTCCGGGCTTACTTTATGCAGATGATCTTGTTCTATGGTATTCCGCCTACTTTATGCAGATGATCTTGTTCTATGGTATTCCGCCCCTATGAAAAACTCTTAGGAGAGAACAGAAAGTGCCCTAAATGGTGCACTTAAACTACTAGCAAACTGGTGGGAAAACAATGGAATGGTAATCAACACCGCGAAAAATGCATTCAAAAACGTTTCTTTGGCCCGTCACAGCATAAACCCACTTCTAAGGTTCAAGGACACTACCCTAGAAAAAACTAATGAATTGACTTATCTCGGAATGACGTTTGACTCAAAGCTAACATAGAAAAGTCACATTGCTAAAATAGCAGAACGAGTCTCCAATCTGTGCACGCTCAACTCTCAACACCACTTACAAGATGTTTATTCAGCCAATAATGTTGTATTGTTGTTAGCCACTCATTACATCCACAGAGGTGACTCTCAAACCACTCAGGATGACGCACAACCAGGCATTACGACTAATAACTGGAGGGAAAAAATCAACGCCCATTGATGCAATGCTCCTGGTTACGGGGAACACTACAATACGTTCACCTATCAAAGAGAAGGTCTTGATCCTGTATGAGAAGCTACTGCGCACTCCCATGGACAAGTTATTCACCACCTATGAGAATAGACCAAGACATCTGAAAACACAGTCTGGTCTAATACAGAAAGCCATAGAACTGAAGAGAGCAATACAAATCGATGACAAACCAAAAAGCCTCTCTCTACCCATGAACCCATTAGAAGACACTGATGTAGTGTGTTGGAACCAACTGCTTGACTAATTCAGGAAATCAAACACCTCTCTAGAACAAATGCGCTCACTGACCCTTGAGGCAATCGATGTCAACTCTCCTGGAGATCAATGGTTCAAAGTTTTCATTGATGGGTCTTACATAGAAAACCAAGCAGACGTTAGTGCAGGTGTCTATTCTGAACTCTTCTCTTTCTACGCAGCAGCGGGACATAATAGATCCGCTTTTGAAGGAGAAATAGAGGCCATTAGGATAGCACTATGCCAATTATGTTGCCTGGATACGAAATTCACCAATGCGGTGATACTTTCGGACTCACAGTTAGCAATAAACTCAATTGGAAGCAGAGAGCCATCCAAAACAGCTGAGATAATCGAATGTAGAAAACTCTATCAACTGCTGAGAGAGAAAAACAAAACAGTGGTCCTACAATGGATTCCTGGTCACTTTGGCATTAAAGGCAATGAGCTTGCTGACACACTTGCTAAGAAGGGGACAACGATATTGCAATGCATGGACCGACCGATGTCTTTCCACACAATGAAGGCCTTAATCAGGAGAGAATTCCATTCCTCAAGGTGCAACGAAATTAAAGCTTGAATAAAAGAGAAACAGTGGACAGTGACACTCTCCGACACAGTTGACTGGCCAAGAATCGAAGCCGTTGCTGAGTTTAGACTACGTACCGGACACGATTGCATGGCAAAACACCTTCACAGATTGGGAGTATACACTCAATCCACATGCCCTCTATGCAACCTACAGGAGGAAACGGAGAAGACCCACCTGATTCGGTGTCCTGCCCTAAAGACAACGACGGAAAACCAGAGATACTGGGAAGCGCGAAGACAGCTAATGAACTGCTCTAAATTTACCCCCACCTATGGGGGAAGCTGAAGTCAAAGTTTAAAGGCTAATGATAACTGTCCTAAATCCTAAATATATGTTTCTTCCCTTATGTGAAAGTCGAATTCAACTAAGGCGCTAATAATAAAATAAGAATAATAACAATGATTGGAACAATGTTAGTTCTCTTCAGTGGTTCATTTCGTTCACTTTACTTGCTTATTACATTCAAAACCTTTAAAACTTATGTTTTAAAGATCTTTTGTAGGATGTAATACGAAATACGATTCCCCTCCAACGCTCCCTTCTTTTGTCTTCTTCGTTTGTAAATTGTAGAGTTCACAGCGCTGTCATGGCTGAACATAGAAATGTCCTGGCACTCTAATACACTCAATGGAGCAGAGGTTTAAAGTCCCTTCACGAGTGCAGAGACCCTCGTTTTTTAACAAACGTTCATTGCCTTTTAATGTCTTATGCCCTGTGACAGTCATAAGCAGATCAAATACGTCTGCCACCTCTATAGATTTGCTGTAGCTTAGCTAATCCTAAGAGCCATTTCAAACTTGCCATAGAGGTTACTAAGCAAAAGTCAGGCTTATAAATGCAAAAAACCGCTCCAATCTACGTCTAGCACATAGGGCTTATTTCATATTTATTTAAGTTGGGTGTACGATAGACTTACCTCCACGTGGTGCACTCTGGGCATCGTATTCTCATACGTCAAAAAGTCTATTAACCAACAGTTGACTTCTCACTTCAAACTACCATGACCCCACTGTACGGTAGTTGACTTCTGACTTCAAAGACAAAAAAGTCTATTGATCGGCAGTTGACTTCTGACTTGCAAAAAGTCTATTGATCGGCAGTTGACTTCTGACTTCAAACTACCATCACCCCACTCTATATCATATTCGACTATTTTTACAGTACTCACCTCACCTTTGTCCATATTCGACCATTTCACAGTACTCACCTCACCTTTTTTCTTAAATTCGACCACTTCAACAGTACTCATCTTACCTTTTCTCTTCGACTTCTCACTTCAAACTACCATCACCCCACTGTATGTCAAATTCGACCCCTTCCACAGTACTCACCTCACCTTTGCTCTACTGTCGACTTCTTCCACAGTACTAACCTCACCTTTTTTCTACCTATTTCTCACTTCAAACTACCATCACCCCACTGTATGTCATATACCTCTGACTTCAAACTACCATCACCCCACTGTATGTCATATTTCACCACTTCCACAGTACTCACCTCGCCTTTTTTCTACCTTCACTCACAGTACTCGCCTTACCTTTTCTCTGTCTTTGTGTCTGTCTGGCTCTTTTGCCCGACTGCTTGTCATATTCGACCCCTTCCACAGTACTCACATCACCTTTTTTCTACCTTTGTGTCTGTATCTTCTACATCTTCCCCACTCTATGCCATATTCGACTATTTCCACAGTACTCACCTTACTGTATGTCATATTCGACTACTTCCACAGTACTCACCTCATTGTATGTCATATTCGACTACTTTCACAGTACTCACCTCAACCGTATGTCATATTCGACCCCTTCCACAGTACTCATCTTACCTCGACTATTTGTCATATTTGACCCCTTTCACAGTACTCATCTTACCTTGTCATATTCCACCACTTTCACAGTACTCACCTCACCTTTTTTTCTACCTTTGTGTCTGTCTCTTCTATATCTTTAAAACACTATTCTGTCCCCTCTGCGAAGCCTGAAGTCAACTAAAGGGCTAATGATAGCTATCAAAACGCCTGCCACTTGATATAAATAAATTTTTATTTAAGTTATTAAATGCCCTTTGGCATAGACTTACTTGAATTATGCCCCACACAATTTAATTGTACTATTTTTTTCAGAACCAATGATGCAGACAATGAATATCAAATAACTGAGACAGTTTGTTCTTTGAATGAAGAATTGTTTTCGTCTCTCCCTCTCACTACTATAGAAAAACTTCCCAACTCGCCCTGGGATAAAATGTGAGTCATTTTACGCTTGGAAAAAGGAAAGCCATAATATTTGAAAATTTAGTAATTTAATTACTGTAAGTAGTATAAGATTTCACTTAGAAGTGTGGGTTATGTTATCGCTTTGTGCGTCATCGTATGCCTGCATGACAGGATTGGGAGGTGCGGCATACAACTCTGTGTGCACCGACCGCACAAACAGTGGCCAATCAGTAGCCTCCGTTTGTTTAACCTAATCCGCCATCCTGAACATGATTAAGCTCCCCGCGTGTACATTTTGCTCACAATGTACGTATTGAATAAGCGTGCTCCGTGCTACACGCCTGTTTCCTTTATAGCTGTGCTATAGCTTAGCTGGTTCTGGGTGTCTAGCTATATGTAGGAGAATCTGCCACAGATTTCTGAGTCAGTCAGGCTTTAATAGCGTAGCAATCCGCTACAGCTCTAACATGGTTGAACCAAAGAATCCTCTATGTGGCCTAGAAATCGAAAACGTGATGGTGACCGCATTAGGAAGCAAATGAGGTCAAGAGGGCATAGACCTCTTTACCAATCAATAGGCAATACAATTTTGTTCTATCCAAACTGAGCCCGTGCACAGTCCGAATGAACGTGTTTTACGTCAAGTGTCTGTTTCCTCTAATTTATCGAGGTAGCTTAGAAAATCCCGGAAGCCATTCCAAACTAGAGGAACTTGTAGGACACGTCATCGCATGCCTGCACGCCAAGATTGGGAGGTGCGTTCGTACAAACAGTGACCAATCATTAACCTCTGTTTGTTTAACCTAATCCCCCATCCTGATCATGAGTAGCTCCCTGCGTGTACACTTTATCCGCAATACTCGAACTGAATAAACGTGCTCCGTGCTGCATGTCCGTTTCCTTTATTGCTGGGCTATAGCTTAGCTGATTCTGGGAGTCTAGCTAGATGTTGGAGAATCTGCCATAGAGATTTCTGAGTCAGCGGGCTTTACTAGCGTAGCAATCCGCTACAAGCTTGCCGTCAAGATTACTGAGCGATTATTTTAGCGTGGTACCCATCGCATTAGTCAAGGATCACATTGAACGCTACGAAAATATATGCCTATAAGTATTATACTGTGCTTTAACTGTTACTAAGCTAGTATTAGTGAGTTATTGTAATTTTGTTAAATCAATGCTTAATTTTTGAATTTGTAAAAAAATATATCTAGAATTCTAATTGGTAACATTTCAATAAAATTTTAGTAACTAACGTGGAATTAAGCAGTGGAACTATTTGAGGTTAGTGTTTTTCCACTTATGAAGTATAATTTAAAATAAACATTGTGATAAAAAGCATGAATGATTAAAATATTAATACGCTACTTACTTTTATTTGATATACCGGCACCAAGAAGGTCATTTCAGTGGAAATAAACGCATTTTCAGAGTTTGAAGTTTGGTTTTGAAAGTAATATCCATAGGTGTTTGAGTAAGTCTGCAATCACGCAAC